TCAAACTCTGGATCTTCCCTGATAAGCAGTCTGGCCCACAGACATGCCTCCCTGGCTAGACTTCTCACAGACTCGAGTTTCACTTTGCTGAAAGCAGCCACATCAGAATCGTTCTCTGTCATGTAAACATCTCCATGATGTTTCCTCTGCTTGACCAGATCTTTTTTGTTTGTTTTGGTAAAGTCAGATATAGAGAGAGGAGAGACAGAGAGGAAAATTATCCATCCGATGATTCACTGCCCAAGTTTCCGCAACTAAGCCAATCTGAAGCCAGGAGCCAGGAGCCTCTTCCAGGTCTCCCATGTGGGTGCAGGGTCCCAAGGCTTTGGGCCGTCCTCCACTGCTTTCCCAGGCCACAAGCAGGGAGCTGGAAGGGAAGTGGGGCTGCTGGGATTAGAACCAGCACCCATAGGGGATCCCTGCATATTCAAGGAGAGGACTTTTAGCGGCTAAGTTACTGTGCCTGTCCGACCAGATCTTTTTGATTCAGATCAACCCATGATAACCTCGGCAGCTGGAAATTTACAGATAGCAAATCCATGAAGTCTGATCATTCTAAATCTAAATTGTGCAAATAGAAATTTATAAAAGATTGATTTGCCTGTTCTGTCAGTTTTCAGTCCAAGATGAAGGTTTATGTGCCATTTGGGGGTTTTGTTTGGCTATTTTTTTTTAAACCATTGATATTCTAAGATTAAGGAACATCTTTTGCATCTCTGACAGGACACGCGCAGGGAGACAATGAGCGATTTAGGGGCGAGTGCGAGGCGCCCCTCCTGGCTGCCCAGGTCCTCTGCCCGTGTTGGCAGCCTGGTGGGGTAAGGCTGAGAGCAGGTGGCAGGGCCAGCATGTGCGGCTTTGCTCCAGACGCGTGAGCCTTTCTGCTCTCTCTTCCTCCTCAGCGTTTCAACCCTTTTCTCCTCTCCACTCATTCTCCTGCTGCTTCTTCACCCCACTTCACTCCCGCTGCAGTTCTTTTTCTCCTGCTCTGGTCTTTCCTTTTCTCTCTCACCCTGTGTCCCTCACTCACTCGCCTGGACATTCTCCCCTGCGGCCAGCCACGGTTGTGGCTGTTTCTTCTAGTGCCCCACCCCCAGCTGGCTCTGAGCGGGAGGCTTATCGGAGTCCTCAGTCAAGCTCAAAAAGGCTCAGAGAGGAGCTCTTCCCCCAGGCCACCCAGCATCCCAGTGGGCTGGAGCCGGAAGAGAGGCTAGGAACCCACACCCCTCACCCACGCGGCTTTAACAGCTGCACAGGGCTTGGGCTGGCTGCGCTGGCCCTGTCTGGAGGCAGAGGGATGGATGACAGGGTCTCGGGAGGGCCCTGCCACGGCAAGGAAGCTGGGCACTCATCTCAATCACCATCAACTTAGATTTATGGGACACCCTTGGGTGCTGGGAGCTGTATAAATGATGGCATCCTTCAAGCCTCAGCTCCAGTCTCCGCCTTGTTAGCACTGCTTACAATATTGTAAGATCGTACTGCTTTACAACCTTTTTGGTGTTTATTTTACTTGAAAGGCAGAGTTACAGAGAGGTATAAGGATAAACAGAGACAGAATCTTGATTCGCTGCCAAGATAGTCAGCACAGCCAGAGCTGACCAGTCCCTTACTCCAACCCATGGTTTAAACACCGGTGCGATGGCTCAGTGGCTAAATCCTCACTTTGCATCTGCCGGGATGCCATATGGGTGCTGGTTTATATCCCAATGGCTCCACTTCCCATCCAGCTGCCTGCTTGTGGCCTGGGAAAGCAGTCGAGGATGACCCAAAGTCTTGGGACCTTGCACCCACAGGAGACCTGGAAGAAGCTCCTGGCTCCTGGTTTCAGATTGGCTCAGCTCCAGCTGTTGTGGGCACTTGGGGAGTGAACCAATGGATAAAAGATTTTTCTCCGTCTTTCCTTCACTGCAAATCTGCCTTTCTAATAAAAATAAGTAAATCTTTAAAAAAAAATTGAAGTTAGAGGATTTGGTAATGTAGGGTCCTGCCAGCCCATGTGAGATCCTGAGCTCCAGGGACAGTGGGTAAGGCGGTACCCACAGGGTGGGGCTGTCTCATGGTGCAGAGAACCAGCTCGAGAGCTGGAAAGGGGCACAGGGAGAGCGGCACACCGTGGCTGGGAATGGGTTCTCTTGCTTAGTCAACAGAGGCCTACTGCGGGCCCACTCTGAAGACCCCACAGCAACTGCACCATCTCTCTAGTCCCTGTCTTCATGAGTCTGTGTTCCGGGATGCAGTAGCAGACCCGAGGGCGGATGGATCTAGCTGGCCGCATGGGCTGTGGCAGCCAGCTGGAGACTGGAAAGAGAAAGCCCTGGAGGTTTAAAGATTGATTTATTTTTATAGGCAGATATTACTGCGACACAGAGAAAAAGGGAAAGAGAGGTGAGGGGAGGGGTCTTCCACCCACTGGTTCACTCCTCAGGTGGACTCAAAAGCCATCCTCAGATGCCAGGGGGTTTCTCTGAATTGCCAATATGGGTCCAAGAGCCTAAGGCTTTGGGCTGTCCTCCACTGCTATCCCAGACCATAAGCAGGGATCTGGATCAGAAATGGAGCAACTGGACCTGGCGCAATAGTGTAGTGGTTAAAGTCCTCGCCTTGCACACCCGGGATGCCATATGGGCGCCGGTTTGTGTCCCGGCTGCTCTGCTTCCCATCCAGCTCCCTATTTGTGACCTGGGAAAGCAGTGGAGATGGCCAAAAGCTTTGGGACCCTGCGCCTGCGCGGGAGACCAGGAAGAATCTCCTGGTTCCTGACTCCTGGCTTTGGATTGGCTCAGCTCCAGCCGTTGCGGCTGCTTGGGGAATGAATCATTGGATGGAAGATCTTCCTCTCTGTCTCTCCTCCTCTCTGTGTATCTGACTTTCCAATTAGAATAAATAAATCTAAAGAAAGAAAGACAAGAAAGAAATGGAGCAGCCAAGACTCGAACCAGCATCCATATGGGAAGCCAGTGCTGCAGGTGCTGCAGGCAGTACTGGCCACAAGCGCCGACCCCTGGAGGTTTTGCTGTTATGAAATGACCAGAAAGATCTCACTGACAGAGGTGAAGGAGGTTGAGAATGAGATGGAGGTGAAGAACCTGGTGGTCCACAGGGATGGGAGGAGAGTGGGCAGAAGGGAGCAGTGAGCTCACAGACGGTGGGACGTGGGATAGCTAGGAGCAGGACTATGGCTGTGGGTTTCCTTGAAGGGTAGCAGTGCTGGCAGAACCTGCCAAGGGACACGTGGGCAGGGAGTGAGGCAGTCTTAAGGCTTGGTTTGAACTCAGGGTTGGTAGAGCCCCCATTGAGTGAGGAAGAACTAGCTGGGGGTCAGGGGATAACAAGAATTTGGTTTGGGGTGCATGACGTTTGAGTTTTGGGGGAGTAGAGCATAGTGTGGGGAAGGACCAGATTGGAATGAAGTGGGGAGAGCTAGGGATGCAAATCTTGCAGAAAACAAAGTGGATTTGGGTGGGGCATGAGAGTGACTCCCAGGAGCATGTGGTCTGTGGGTGGTTGACATTCCCAGACAGGACAGGATGGGGGAGCTGATCTCTAAGGAAGGTGTCCTTGTGGCTCTCTGCGCAAAGCAGCAGGTGCACATTGTAGCAGTGAGGGGCTGATGGGGGCTGCAGGCAGGTGCAAGAGGCCTAGGAAAGCATTGGCAATCTGCCACACACACACACACACACTCACACACACACTCACACACTCCCTCCCTCCTACACACACACACATACCCTCCTCAGAAAGGGTTTGCTCCCTGAACTTGCTTCACTTTCAGTTGCATCCTCAACCCCCAGGGTGCTCGGGTGTACACCTGTTGGGTGGGGGTAGGTGCAGGCAGAGTCTCCCACCTGTACCTGGTGAGCCTGCTTGGGAAGGAGCCCGACTAGGCTCAGTCCTCCTGCTACCTGTGGTCTTCCGGTCTCATTCCCGGCTCAGGACTTACTATTTCATGGATTTTTTTGTCCTTTGAGGCAGAGAACAGGGAGTTTGGAAAAACTCAAATTCTGAAAACATTTATGATGCATTGTTTGTAATTCTGGTGGAAACATCCGTGAACAAGCAGATTAAGATCAATGGTTGAATTCATTTTTAGAATTATGTATGGATTAAAATGTTTATGTGCCTGTGATTACAAATAATCAGTAATCTACTAAATGAGGTGTTTTTTTTTCCCTCCCATTTCCCATTCTGCATTTCCCCTTGTTGCACTTCCACTTCCTCCTCCTCCTCCATTTCCTCCAGTCCTCCCAGCAGATAACAGCAACTTGGGCCCATCGGGATGCCAAACTCGGGCAGATCGCAGCTGCTTGGGCTGCTCAGGCAACCTTGGTCAGGAGGCAGATGACATCATTTTAACAGTGAAGGCAGAGGACTGGAAGGGGAGGGAGGACTTCAGGAACCCCGGGGACACATCTGGCCAGATGCACAGGGTGTGGCCGGGAGCCCCTGTCCTGCATGGGTGGTCACAGAACCGGGAGGGGGCTGGTAAAGAAAGCTCCAGTTCCCGGGTCCTTGGAAAAACATTTTTGGGGTCCAGATTTGGGGAGGGAATAGATGGGTTGGACCTGGCAGGTTCCTCTAGAGATGCAACTCTTGACTCCTGGTCTGCTGGGGCCTCTTAACCCAGGTCATAGAGTGGTTCTCGGCCCCGCCCTCCCCAAGGAGGCTCTGGAAGTGTCTGAGCCAGCTGGCTCCAAGTCTCATCTTGAGACCCGAGACCACAGCCTCAGGTTTTGGAGAAAGCTGGGGAGGTGGCAGGTGGGGGAAGAGAGGAGGTGGTGGGGAAATGGAGGGGGTCCTTGCCCGTGAGCTTCCTGTCTCCCCTACTTCTGCTTAGTGAAATCTGTGCCAGTTAATACCTTTCTTCCCATTTCTTTGTCTCCCCTAAACCTGTCCCCCTCACACCCCGTTTCTGTCTCCTCTCCCTGCCCCCCACACCCATCACCTCTCCCTCCCTGGCCATGGCTCCTTGTGCCTTCTGCCCTCTCTCCCTGTCACAGCGGAGGGAAAGGTGTACAGCTCGGACGAGGAGAAGCTGGAGGCCCCTGCAGGAGACCCAGCCGGCAGTGATCAGGAGGAAGAGGGCTCAGGTGGTGACAGTGAGGACGACGCTTTCCTGGACACTTCCACAGGGGGACCAGGGGCTCTTCTGGGACCTAAACCAAAGCTGAAGGGCAGCTTGGGGACTGGAGCCGAGGAGGGGACCCCAGTAGCAGCAGGGGTCACAGCTCCCGGAGGCAAGAGCCGGCGGCGGCGCACAGCATTTACCAGCGAGCAGCTGTTGGAATTGGAAAAGGAATTTCACTGCAAGAAGTACCTGAGCCTGACGGAGCGCTCCCAGATTGCCCACGCCCTCAAGCTCAGCGAGGTACAGGTCAAGATCTGGTTTCAGAATCGCAGGGCCAAGTGGAAGCGCATCAAGGCTGGCAATGTGAGCAGCCGCTCTGGGGAACCCGTGCGGAACCCCAAGATTGTCGTGCCCATCCCCGTGCACGTCAACAGGTTTGCTGTGCGAAGCCAGCACCAGCAGATGGAGCAGGGTGCCCGGCCTTGATGGCTCCAAGGACTTGGGAAGGCAGCACGGCCCCGCTGGGAGAACCTGTTCCGGACACCTTGAGGACCAGGGGGCCAGTGTGTTCGGAATTCTGGTTCTCTTCGCCAAGGAGCCCCTGCGGACCCGGGTGGGCTGTAGGACCCCTAGGACTGGAAAGAGGAACCCAGCGTGGCCCCTGGCCAAGTGGATCACAGCTCTTATTTATTTTGTGTAAAGCTTGTACATATGGAGCCATGTCTCTGCATCCAAGAGAGGGACTGGGAAGCTGTTTCTTTGGTCCCCAGCCAGAGACCCTTACATCCTTCTACTGTGGGGTGGGGCACACTCTGTAGCATGATGGGCAGAAATGAGATGGAACGGTGGTGTCATGCCCCAGGCAGCCCTCCACGCCGCCATCATGTAAACTACCTCCACGCTCCGCTCTCCTCCCACCCCTGTAGCTCCCACTGCAGTCCAGTCCCTTGGCGCCCCCTCTCCCCTTACATGCAGGCTCCTCCTGTTTCAGCATCCTTCTCTTGGGAAGGGTGGGTAGGCTCTGGGGATGCAGGTTCGCTACCCTCTGGGTTAAGTTGGGAGATGGAACACCTGACCCTGACCTAGCTGGGGCATGTCCAGACCATCTAGTGAGGTCTTGCTGGTTAGTAGCCCCTTGCACTCATGGGTAAGTTGTGTCTATGCGCAGGGCACAGCATTTTTCAGTGCCTCTCCACCCTGTGGTGCTCCAGACACTAGGGGCTCGGGGGGAGACAAATCACCTTCAAGTCTGCGTTCCTAACAGCTCACACTGTGTCGGGAGCGTGGGATGCCATCACCTCGTCTGTTTCCAGACAGGACAAACAGTGGCGAGGGGTCACTGCTGAGCAGCTGGGACTGGAGTGAACATGTGACAGATTGGAAAGGGAATGTACTGTGAAGGGAGCCACGGGGGTGGCAGTTAGAGGCTTTGGAGCTTTGGGGTTGTGTACATGTCAACTCCAGGAGCTGAAGTTGGCTGCCTCTGGAGTAAGCCTGCTGCCCGAGAAGGAAGGTTGAGTTGGGCCACTCTGCAAGAGGAGCCAGGGGTCTCTGCAAGTCGAGGGGCTCAGGTCAGGGAGAGGAGGGTACATACTGGGGATAAAGCCTGGCTAACATCCTACTGTCCTTAGAGGCCAACTGCTGGCTGCCCCTGCTCATCTCACTCACTCTAGCTGGTGTCGAGGCCCACTCAGGAGCCCTGGATGACCCTCTCTCACCCAGCCGCTGGGGGGCAGCCTGGCACTGTGACTGGTCTCCAGCCAGGATGAACACATCTGGGGCAGGTCCTTTCCATCCTTTGGCAGAATTTCAGCAGGGCTTGAGAACAAGGCTAAAACTATGCAACCCAGACCAGCCCTACCCCAGGTCTGGTGTCGATCAGGGCTAAGGCTCTCTGAAACCCCAGACCCCACCACGTGGAATACATGAGGCTGCAATCTCTGGCAGGGCTGGCACTCAGTGGTGCTGCGGGCACCTTGCTGGTGCTGTGCATACTCCACGGCCCCCTGGGATGAAGAGTGAGCGACACACAGAAGAGCTACTGGCTCAGCCTGTATTCCAGCCCTGCCTACACTCTGTCCGGCCTTGGCCTAAGCGTACCATCACTGGGCAACCTGGAGGGGCTCATTGCTGCCGTTTTCCAACCTCACAACCCAGTCCTGCCCTGCCCCCATGCTGCTCTTGCCTATGGAAGGCTCGGTTTTTGTTTTTTTTTTTTTTTACCAGTCTTGCAGAAGGGGCTATGGACCGGGAAATAAAGTCTGGTTTCCTCTCTGAATGGTGTTACTGGGTTCTTTACTTCCACATGGGCAGGTGTCCATGCACACGACAGCAGTCCCTGCACCTGCCTCCTCAAGGCATTTCAGCCAACAAGAGCCACCAACAAGGTGGTTCCTGGCAGGGGCTGGCAGCAGACTCAGCCAGCCAGGACCCTCACCTGCCACCTTTCATCCTTCAAGAAGAGAATAGCTAAGGGATACAGAGAGGAGGAAAAATGGGGTGTCTCAACCCTGCCCCAGCTGGCCTCAGTCAGATGCTGGTGGGGGTGGAGCTGGCTGTTGGCCACCAGTGACCCACCTCCCCTGCTTCTCCACAAGCAAAGCCCAAGCACAGGCCCGGCTCCACGGTGACACAGCTAGCCAGAGTCCTGGCCAGACAACGGGGCTGGCCGCTGACTCCTCCCACACACGTGCGCCTGGCCGTGTGGCTCAGCATCTGGATCTGAGGTGAAGGAGGTAAAGCGGGGTGGGGGAACAGAGCCGCCTCCTCTCGGCAGGTGCCCCGCGCTCTGTGCTGCCACCACACCCATGGCAAGGGCAAGTCTGCGAGAATTCACCTGGAATGGGGTGGCAGGGGTGGTCTTTAGGAAGACTGCCTGCCCAGGACCCCAGAACTGAGCAGGAAATGAGGTGTCAGGAGAGCAGAGGCAATGGAAAAGCGGGGAGTCAGCACAGGCCACGTGGCTGCACACGCAGTCTTGTTTATTGGCTCATCGAACACGCACACCGAGTATGTACACAGACATAAATATTCCAATGTACAAATGTTACACGGGACTTGCAGGCCGTGCCCAGTCTGTGCCCTGTCCTGCCACGTGGGAGGATGAAGGCTGGCGGGGGGCTGGCACTGGGAGGCCGGGATCTGCAGGAGGGAGAGGTCCTGCTCCCCTCTCCTCACAGGCACCTCCAAGGGGTCCTGGCCCTCCTCAGTATGTGCTCCCCCTCTCTGCCGTGGCTCAAACCGCAGACCTCTCTGCGGGTCCCGGGACTCTGGCCAGTTCCTCTGCTCCGTCGCTGTGCGAACCTTGCTGCTTCACCTCCGGCCCCTCTGGCCTCCTGCCTGCGCCTCAGAGGAGGCTGGGGCTTCGATGCAGCTCAGCGGAGGGGCTGGGGCCGTTGGCCGCCTCTCTGCCCGGGGCGGGGGCCAAGCCGCAGCCCTCCCCAGGGCAGCCATGCTGGGTGAGGATGTCCGCACACTCCTGGCTGCCAGCCCGCCGGGCGTAGGCCAGCGGGGTGAGGCCCCGGGCGTCTCGGCTCCTCACGTCCACCCCGTACTGCGGGAGAGAGCGCAGGTTGGCAGTTGGAACCGTGTGAGTGGGGTGGGACGGAGCAGGGTAGGGCGGGCTGCCCACTCACCCAGATGAGCAGCTGCGTGAAGACCACGTTGGCCATGGCGCTGGAGAGGTGCAGGGCTGTGCGGCCGTCCCCGTCCCCATAGGTCTCATTCACCTCCTCCTTGGAGCCGTGGGCCAGCAGCATCACCAGCAGCCGCAGGTCATCCTCCACCACGGCGCGCAGCAGCTGCTGTCCCAGCGGCACGTCCGAGCTCGGCAGCGGGGCCAGGAAGAGCTTCTGCTCGTACTTGGCCCGGATCCAGCGTTCCTTCTCCTCCCTGCGGCCGCAGGTCCGTCAGTTGAGGCAGGAGCCCACGTGGGGGGCCCAGGAGGTGGCCAGGAGAGCAAGCAGGGTGCAAGGGGAGAGATGGTGAGAGAGGCCAAGAGTGGCACACACGGGGGGCCTTGGGGGACCAGGGAAGCTGACACTGAAGGCAGGCCCCTGGGAGGCAGCAGGGCTGTGGGGGGCTGCGAGGGGCAAGAAGGTTCCAGACAGGCCCATGTGGTGGCTTATCTGGCCGTCGAAGTCTCTCGATTGGCAGCGCTGGAACAAAGCAGGTGGGGGCCCGGCACAGGGGGCCTGGCAGTCCCTATCTCCCACCCATTCTCCCCATCTCAGAACTCAGGCTAGGGGCTCCCCACCACACACAGCGATAGGAACCCTGCGCATGCGCCTCCTGCTGGCCCCCTGACCTGCTGATAACGCTCAAAAAGGGCCTGTTGTTGTGAGCCGCCTGAGTGACAGGCCCCACTGAGGGGGAGGGCCGCCCCCAGGGGCCCACTGCCAAGCACAGCAGCCGCTCCTTTTAACCCTTCTAACACTGTCATGGCCAGCAGCCACCGGGCACCCACCAGCCCTAGTCTGTCCACTTGCTGGGAGATCCCGCCCCCCATGAACCCACCAACCTGCAGGCTTCAGGCCCTGGCTTTGAGTAGCCATCCAGGGCCCCCTCCCAGACACTGTTGGCTAGGGCATTGCCCATGGCGGTCATCACGGCCAGCAGCTCGGGCGGCCAATCGTCGAGGTCGAGGGAGCGGACCCGGGACAGGTGAGCCCCCAGGTGCCGGTGGATGCCCGAGCACTCGATGCACATGAGGGCGCCCAGGTTCAGGCTGGCCCAGTCCGGATCTAGGTCAGGAGAGGAAACCCCATGCAGCAGGCCAGACGACTGGGCCAAGGGACGACTGGGCAAGCCCTCCCCGCCTCTTCCCGGGGCCCGTCTCGGCCGCCTCGGCACTCACTGGGCGCGTCGCAGTCGATGCAGAAGCTGTTGCCGCGAACAGTGCGGACGGCCTGCACAGCCAGAGCCGTGTTCTGGTTTCCCAGGCGAGCCTGCCGCAAGGCGCGAGGGACAGGGTGGTGGCCAGTCAATTGCCAAGACCCCATGTGGTCCCGTTCTCGTGACCTCCCACCCCATGCAGACCCAGCAGCCCCTATGCTGACCTTGTCCTTGGCGCTGCGGCAGCCCTGCAGGCTGGCCAGGATCTGGGCCTGCACACTCTGAACCCACAGCTCCCGTTCTTCGGCTGTGGAGGCCTCGAAGTGCCACGTCTGTCCGGTGAGTGACACCACCACGAACTCAAACGACTCCTCTGCCTCTGGGGAAGGGGGGTTGACACCGTCAGGCCCCATCACTGCTAACTCCAGTCCCCGCCCCACTCTGCTGGCACTTGCTCCCCCTCCACCATCACCACAGCTGCCCGCCAGGCTCCCTCGAGGGCAACCTGCAGGGGCTGGAAGGAAGGCCAGCAAACTCCCAAGCCTCCATCCCTAACCACCTGTGGAGCCTGAGGCTTGGGTGTGTGGGAGAAGGATGGCGCAAGGTCCCAGCAGCCCTGGCACTGCCAGGAAGGGGTCTGGCAAGCCAGGGAGGGGTGCCAGTGACTGGGGAAGGA